GCAAATAGACGACTGTATTCTAAATTTTACTTTGTCACCCACACTGAACTGGAATTGAACAATGGCTCTCTCTTCTGGTGGTCCTGAACTGGAAATTATGGAAACTGGTAAATCGTATTTTCTGATAAGCGTTAAAGTTAATGACCTATTTCCGTGCAGCACCTCAAGCTGCAGTAACGAGAAGTCACATCCCGTCTGCTCTCAAGTCAGACAGTTTCAACTTAACCTGCTCAGACAAACTAGAGAAGTGTCCCCGGTGTGCGCTGACGTGTGGGGGCATGGCGAGAAGAAACTCCTAGAGGAGGACAGTGGAGCAGGAGTGACTGGGCATGTTTTAGGAGAACAAAAGGCAGGAGAGGGAATCCCTGAAAACATGCACAAGGGGAGGCAGATGCGCGAGCACACCGTGCGTGCAGTAGGGAAACAAACAGAAGGGGTCCATGGAGTAGGACGAGGACTGCTCTAGTCACTAGTCATTGGAGAACAACGTAGTTCCTCACCAACACATGTGTTTGAACAGAAGTGTGGAGAGGACCTGGGGATGTCGGACATGGAATGCCACCTTTAGGTTCAGGAGGAGTTCTTGCTGACATTGGTGAACATCTGCTTCAAATAGCAACAAAACAAAGGCTAAATCCTATCCAGCTGCACTTTTTAAACTAATGTAGGAAAAAAGAACTGCAAATGAGACAGGCAAAAACGAGACGCAAGCGTCATCAAATAAGGCACATGTAAAAATCTACGCACATTATCCAGTGAAAGACAATATATATATTTGGAGGTAGAAATAATTACAAAAATACTGACGTTTCTAAAGCGTTACCATATTTGTTACAAACATCACCAACTAATCCCCACTCAGAAAACTGCTTTGTAAAATGATTATTCAACCTCTTCAGGACCACCTGTTTGTGGCTTCTTATGAAATTCATGTGAGCATCTGGAGAGTTCAGTTAGTAGCAAAAAGTTGTCCATACTATGAGAAATGCAATATGGAAAAATTATAAAAGGTTACAAATGTTCATAAACCCCGTGGTCATCATAATGTAAATGTCCTTGAGTGCACCAGTTGATATTTTCTTGTCAATCAGGAGTTCGAAATTCTCACCTCACAGGCCCATTGACGTCTTCAGTAATGTGGCTATATCTGCTGGCATAGTACCTTCATCACCTGCAGATCAGAAAGTGGCATTAAAAGCTTTGTAAAAATATCTTATGAAATATATTGTCTCAGTTTTCCTCCTTTTTTGGTGAACGCCTATTCATTTTTCAAGGTCCAGTTTACTTTGTATCCCATTAGACACCTGCATAACCCTGTGAATTTTACTAGGACTATTTCCTCTGCCAGCATCATACTGCCAACATCATCATGTAGGATTAGGATTCTGATTTAAGAGATGCAAAGTTTGGAGCATATCTAATTTACATAGTGCGTGGTACTTTTCATACTTGCTAAATACAAAAAAAAATTTATGTTACAATCAGTGGGGAAGACAAAGTTGTTAAATCCCAACTGAACCTAAATTTAATTGTTTTAGTTTTATTTTTTTATAAAAAAGCTTAAAATAAAAGCTGTAAGGGGTCCAGGGACAGCAACTGCCTGGCAAGCACAAGGTCCTGAGTTTGACTCCCTAGTACCAAAAAAACCCCCCAAAACAAAAAACAAAGAAAACCCTTAAAAGACAGTGAGGGGGGGCAGGGTATAGCTCCGTGGCACAAGAGCCTGCCTGGCAAGTGCAAGACCCTGAGTTCAATTCGCGGCACTAGAAAAAAAATAAGACAATGAGGAAAAGTGTAAAGATGGATAGTACACAACACCATCCGATTCAAGACCACATAAAATTGTCAACACAATGTACCAGTTGAGGATTATAACATAATTACCTTCTTTTTTCCAAAGACTGTCCTGTATTTTAATGAAATGGGACCCCAGTGTTTAGCCACTTACGGGAACAGTACCTATTCCTGATTAATTCAGTCAAATACTCAGGATATTTCTGATGAACTGATTTATTAACTTGCCAGTTAATGCAGACAATGCCGCAATTGCCAATTCACAAGTCTTGCTGATCTGCTTTACACCTTTAAGCTGTGATGGATTTTATAAATTAGGTAGGGCTAAAAGCAGCACAACCAATCACTTCTCTCACAAAAGCATGCCCCAGTGACAATCTAAACTACAAGAGCACTTTCCTGCAGGGAAGGAGTAAAGATTCTACACTTAAAAGGTACTAAAGACATAAGGCAGTGATATGCAAAGTATGAACTTTGGGTTGTAGTTTCAGAAATACTATAGAAGACATTAAAAGGACAATAGGGAGAAATCTGGATAGGGAGAAAATATAGTATCTGGAGATTACGGTTGATTTTCTTGCATAGAAAATGTACTGTGGCAACTTACAGGAAGTTCTGAAAATGCACTGTAATGTTTACAGTTGACACCAATAATTCAGAAGACAGAAAAGGCAGATGACACAAACGCTGCAAATATTACAACTCTTAAAGCATCATACTTTGATTTACTGTACAATTTCAGTATTTATGTAAAAATTTCCATAGAAAGACAGAACACTTAATAATATAATTAAATTACTCCTTTAAAAAAAACACACCTCACCATCTTTATTTCAAAGTGGAATCTCCTGGAAGGCTTGTGAAACCTGACTACTGAGAGGATTCCCACAGCCTCTGAGTGAATAAGGAACTCGGGGATCTGCATTTCCAGCTGGCCCTTTCTTAAGGATGCGCTTCCACTGCGGATGTAAGACTACACACTTGGAGAACCACGAAGGCTAAGGCAAGCCCTAGAAACAGAAAATCTAACAAACATACATGGCGTGGTGTGTGACTGTTGGGGTTCACCAGGAGGGCACTGTTAGCAGAAGACACCCGCGTACTCCCTTACCAGGGCACCTTTTGTTAACAGAAAAGGACTCGCTGTGAGAGAGGGAAAGGGCATGCATGTGCTCTCATTAACTCAAGTGTCCCAATTACGAAACCAAAAGGGCACAACTGAAGACAAGATTATGGGCTGAGAGGAAATGCAAGATGACAGTGTATCTCTGCATCTACCAAATAAAATAAAATACACACTGGTGGAAAACGTATCAACAGCTTTAAGGAGACAAAGGAGGAAGGTGGAAAGGCCTTAGCAGAAAGGGAAGTGTGGGGGAAGATTTCTGGAGATGACCCTTGAAAGGGTAATGTCTGAGAACATTGCTGAAATAAGTTGCCATTTT